TTTTGTATTTCTCTAGTGACAAATATGATCACTTTATTGTAATCGCCTTACAAATTGATCATTATTGTTTTAGAATATCAATCCCATCAGGACAAACCTAAGGCTACGTTAGTTCCACCACCACATATTACTATTTTTATTTTACTTTAGACAACAATTACACGAACTATGTTTTTTTTGGAATATAAATCTTTTCTTTTATGATTTTTCAACTATACATTCATGCACGCTTCTATAAAATACAAAAAAAAACAGACACACTAGTATATTTATTTATTTTTCTGTTATCTAACTTGCCTCCTCTATTTTCATTTGATGTAGTTTTTCACCCGAAGCATTAAAATATAAAAAGAAAATAGATGCCATAATATCAAATTCTAAATGTATTCATGATAACAAAAATGTCAATTTTTTAAAAACAATATTCAAAAATCATTCAAGATGGATAATGAAATATAAGAGTGACACATTATGATGTACTTAACATCATTCAACCACTCAGAAAGTTTGATATTATTTCCCAATCCAAAATTTGTATCGACAACTTCTTTTAGATTTTTAAACGTCAATGATAGCATTAAAAAAACTAGAATTTTTAAAAAATAAAATAAAATTTTGTAATTTGAAAGTAGACGATGATTCATGGTGGTGGTAGGAAGTCCATGATATATGAAAAAAACTAAAAAACATTTATGTGTCAGTGGTACCTTATATCATTTAGTACAATCCTTTAATCTAATGGATCTTTTCCATTGTTTATTATGAACAATTTAGGTGACGACTAAAATTCTAATGTCTTTTATCATTATTATAAATAAATATTTAAAATTATAAAACTTTGACTATCCCTTATAAAGTTTAAGATAATTCTTGTCAAATGAGTATCAATAAATTTATTATTATTTTACAAATTTTTTATGCTAACTTTTTGGATGAGGATTCAATTGAATCTCTCATGTCATCAGAGAACCATTCAACCTTACCATAAAATTAAACAAGTCTTCATTATATATTTATATATTCTGTATTAGATTAGATCTTTCCATGCTATCCCATTTTGTATTTCTCTAGTGACAAATATGATCACACTATTGTAATCTCCTTGCAAATTGATCGTTATTATTTTAGAATATCAATCCCATCAGAACAAAGCTAAGGCTCTGTTAGTTACACCACTACATATTACTATTTTTATTTTACTTTAGACAACAAGTACACGACCTATGCTTTTTTTTTTTTGGAATCTAAATCTTTCCTTTTATGTTTTTTAAACTATACATTCACGCACGCTTCTATAAAATACCAAAAAACAGATACACTAGTATATTTATTTATTTATTCTGTAATTTAACTTGCATCCTCTATTTTCATTTGATGTAGTTTTTTACCCAAAGCATTAAAATATAAAAAGAAAATAGATGCCATAATATCAAATTCTAAACGTATTCATGATGACAAAAATGTCAATTTTTTAAAAACAATATTCAAAAATCATTCAAGATGGATAATGAAATATTAGAGTGACACATTATGAAGTACTTAACATCACTCAACCACTCCCAAAGTTTTATATAATTTCCCAATCCAAAATTTTTATGAAAAACTTCTTTTAGATTTTTAAACGTCATTGATAGAATTAAAAAAACCAGAACTTGAGAAAAAGAAAATAAACTTTTGTAATTTGAAATTAGACGATGATTCATGGTGGTGGTAGGAAGTTCGAGATAAGAGAAAAAAACTAAAAAACATTTATATGTGAGTGGTACATTACATCATTTAGTACAATCCTTTAATCTAATTGATCTTTTCCATGCTTTATCACGAACCATTTAGGTGACGACTAAAATTTTAATGTCTTTTATCATTATTTTGAAATAAATATTTAAAAATATAATTTTTTTACTATCCCTTATAAATTTGAAAATAATTCATGTCAAATGAGTATCAAAAAAAATTTATTATTATTTTAAAAAAAATTATGCTAACTTTTTGGATGAGGGTTCATTGAATCTCTGATATCATTAGTGAACAATTCAACTTTACCATAAAATTAAACCAGTCTTCATTATATATTTATATATACTGTATTAGATTAGATCTTTCCATGCTACCCCATTTTGTATTTCTCTAGTGACAAATATGATCACTTTATTGTAATCGCCTTACAAATTGATCATTATTGTTTTAGAATATCAATCCCATCAGGACAAACCTAAGGCTACGTTAGTTCCACCACCACATATTACTATTTTTATTTTACTTTAGACAACAAGTACACGACCTATGTTTTTTTTGGAATATAAATCTTTTCTTTTATGATTTTTCAACTATACATTCATGCACGCTTCTATAAAATACAAAAAAAAAACAGACACACTAGTATATTTATTTATTTTTCTGTTATCTAACTTGGCTCCTCTATTTTCATTTGATGTAGTTTTTCACCCGAAGCATTAAAATATAAAAAGAAAATAGAGACCATAATATCAAATTCTAAATGTATTCATGATAACAAAAATGTCAATTTTTTAAAAACAATATTCAAAAATCATTCAAGATGGATAATGAAATATAAGAGTGACACATTATGATGTACTTAACATCATTCAACCACTCAGAAAGTTTGATATTATTTCCCAATCCAAAATTTGTATCGACAACTTCTTTTAGATTTTTAAACGTCAATGATAGCATTAAAAAAACTAGAATTTTTAAAAAATAAAATAAAATTTTGTAATTTGAAAGTAGACGATGATTCATGGTGGTGGTAGGAAGTCCATGATATAAGAAAAAAACTAAAAAACATTTATGTGTCAGTGGTACCTTATATCATTTAGTACAATCCTTTAATCTAATGGATCTTTTCCATTGTTTATTATGAACAATTTAGGTGACGACTAAAAATTTTAATGTCTTTTATCATTATTATAAATAAATATTTAAAATTATAAATCTTTGACTATCCCTTATAAAGTTGAAGATAATTCTTGTCAAATGAGTATCAATAAATTTATTATTATTTTACAAATTTTTTATGCTAACTTTTTGGATGAGGATTCAATTGAATCTCTCATGTCATCAGAGAACCATTCAACCTTACCATAAAATTAAACAAGTCTTCATTATATATTTATATATTTTGTATTAGCACTACGCCAAATAAGCTATTTAATAGCGTTTTTTTTTGTTTTTGATAGCGCTTAAAAGTGCTATTAACCGCGCCACTATTGTAAATATTTCTTATTTAATAGCACTTTAAAAGCGCTATTAAAGTACCAATTTATAATAGCGTTTTAATTAAAGTGCTATCAAAGTCAGTATTTTGCATGTTTTTTGTTTGTTTTTTTATAGCACTCTAAACAAAAAGCGCTAATATATAACATATGTTTGATAGCGCTTTCAAATAAAGTGCTAATAAATGGTACATATTTGGTACAATATTTTTAATAAGTACAGTACAATATTTTTTCTTACACAATCATTTTTTTTGGTGTAAATATAAAATAATTATATTCAATTCAACACAAATAACGCTTTAAGTTACTCATTGCATATATATTATGATCCATCAAATACCAAATAACATTTTAAATTACCAAATCCTATTGTTTCCAAATATCATAACATATAGAATATTAAGAGGGCGTTTGCATAGCCAAATTTGTAGATGTCCATCTATGAGTACTTCAATCCAAATCCAAAAACATACAATCAAATTCTCTAAACAAAACACCAAAAAAATAAGAAAGGATAACAAAACAACCCCATGTAGTAACCACCTTCATGATCCAAAAGCGTTGAACTCATAGATACAATCACATTGATCCACAACTCTTTGAACATTCTCATTATCAATCACCCCGCTCTTATTGACGCGGGCAACCTTCCACACTTGACTACGGTTTATCTCACCAACTTCTGACTCTTCTACCTGTATATACATTTTTACAAATTAACATAGCAATTAAATTTTTTTATAATATTGTATAGTACATTTATACACATACTTACCATATCAGCTTCAAGACGAGCACACCCTAAACGTGACTTTCTATAGGGATGTTGAGGATTTAACGCTCTTTCTCGATTCTCATCACTAACTTTCTGCATTTATTATAAAAAATGCATCCCACAACACTATCACTAATACTATAATCATGCAAAACTTTAAGGATCCATATCCAAGTGATAAAAGTATTACCTGAAACAGTGTTTTTATATTATCTATATCTATATGAACCCGCCTTCAATATTTATAATATTCCTATTCCTATAATATTGACTAGGACATATAAAAAGGAAACGTCACAACCCCTTAAATTATAACTATTCTTATTCTTATCTTTGATTATATATATATATATATATATATATATATATATATATATATATATATATATATATATATATATATATATATATATATATATATATATATATATATATATATATATATATATATATATATATATATATTGGTTTCACCAACAACATTGAAAACAAAAGAAGCTGAGGAAAAAGGCATGGCTGTGAGAGATATAGAAGAAGGAGTAGTTGATTCAAATTCTACCATTCCTTTGAAACAGCACTTTGTGTTTGTACATGGCATAAGTGGAGGAAGTTGGTGTTGGTATAAAATTTGTTGTCTTATGGAGAATTCTGGGTACAAAGTTTCATGCATAGACCTTAAAAGTTGTGGAATTGATCAATCTCATGCTGATTCTATTCTTACTTTTGATGATTATAATAAACCTCTTATTGATTTCATATCTGATTTACCAGATAATGAAAAGGTAAGTTCTATATTTTTATTTTTATTTTGATATTGATTTATTTCTTAACCTTATATATTATAATACTAATAATATATATATGAATAATAGGTTATATTGGTGGGGCATAGTGCAGGAGGATTGAGTATTACTGATGCATGTCACAAATTTCCAAATAAAATTCGTTTAGCAGTGTATGTGGCAGCAACTATACTGAAATTTGGATACTCAACCGATCAAGATCTTAAAGATGTGAGTCGTTTTCATAAACTCTGTTCTGTTTTTTAGCATGTTATAAGATTCATGTGAATTCATAATACAATAAAGTCTTGGGGGTGGGAATAATATAATATGATAGTGATGTGCAAAAATTTTGTCTTTTAATACAAGGTCTGCCAGAAAAAATAGTGTTGTTATAGTATCATAAATTAACATCAAAACTTTCTGATAATATCTTGAAGATTCGGCTATTTTAGTTTAACATACTTCAATCAAATGCAAAACATCTTTTATGTATATTTTCAGTATATCACAGAAACAAACAGCGTTGAAGTAGGACCGAAAATAAAGTTTCCAAACTGGTATTATACAATTACCTCCTAGAATTGTTACATCTTGCCCTGGGATTTTCTGATAGCCGATACACCAAACTGATCCATCTCCCTATAAAACCAACAGGTTTATTATATCATTCAACTAGTGAGATAACATTCATAATAGAAAAATAATTAGACGTGAAGTAGCTCTTAAATCGATATTGAAGTTTGAATACTTACAATATAGTTCTGCTTTATAAGGTAGTCCTGTGGTCCTAAAACGAGAGACGCGCCAGCAAAGTTCAGACTTACTTGAGGAAACATGTCAAGGCTGTTAAACACGGTATAGCCAGAAAGAGGCAGAGAAAGATTGTCTATTATAGGCATTTGATTCGGGGAAATTATGTCATAAAATAATCCATTAAATATATATATGAACAGTTTCATTTTAACCTGGTGGTAACTAAGTAACACTGATTTCCTCTGGAAAGAACAGTGCGCACAGATTGTGGAATGGCAGCGGTAATCTACAGAGAACAACATTTCCGTTAATATATAGATAAATCAAAGCAATATCCATAATTGATCAATTGGACGAAAAGAAATTACCTAAGTGAAACTCACCGCATGGATAAAGGGATTGTAAGCCTCTTCTGCAATGTATGCCAAAGTTGTTCCAGAATCAATAATGGTACCTCTATTGTTTGATGTAGCAAAAATAGCAGAATCAATCGGCAAAACTTGGCCACTGACAGAGATGCTCAGCAGATTTAGATTATAATGAGGCCTGAAATATTTAACATAGAACTAATCTTAATGTTTAAACTTTATTAATCAAAGAAAATGGCCATTTCAATACAAATAAAATTTTGACAATAACACATTTACCAGGGCTTTAAGATGATAAACGAGTATATATACATAAAATAGTTAAAATGTAGCATTTTATTCTAATGGAAGAACATACTGTGACGGAACGAGTGGACTATAAATTATGTTTGGCTCCACAATCTCACCAAGAACCAATAAGCCGCCACCGTTACTATCTCCTTTCAAGCAGTGTGAGAACACTCTTGGTGCTATTCCTTGTGAAGAGAGCTGAGAAATTACTGACATGCCCTGTTGCCCAAATCCAAATATACCATCAATTGCTCTATCAGACTTTGTCAAGTCCCCACTCTACTGGTTGCTACACCCAAAAACAACAGGCGCCGATGAAGTGAATCTGAATCTGAATCGATGGTGAATCCGATGGCTGAAGAATGGATCCGGGTGAAAACCGAAGGAAGGGATGACGGTGGTAAATCAATGACCAACGGCGGTGAATCAATGAAAACCGAAGGAAGCAGAGGAAGATTTGACGGAGGTGAATCAGTTGGCTAAGAAGGAAGCAGAGGAAGATAGTGTTTTTGTTTTTGGCGGTGAGTGGATGCGGGAGGAAGCAGAGGGAAGCAGAAGGAAGCAGAGGAAGATAGTGTTTCAGAAACCTAATTTTATGAAAATGTGTTTTGTTTTTTTTTTTTATCAATTAATTAATTAATTCATTATTATATATAACATAGCGCTTTTTAATAAATGCTATTATATAGGTAGTCAAATAATAGCGTTTTATACAAAATGCTATCTTAAAGAAGTTTAATAATAGCGTTCTGGTACAAAGTGCTATCATAATTACATAGTCTGTATTATATAATAGCGCCCGATTAAAAAGTGCTATTATAAATGTGTTTTTTCCATTTTAATAGCATTTTTTTTAAAAGTGCTATTAAATTAGGTGATACAAAAAATCATTTTTGGCGTAGTGTAGATTAGATCTTTCCATGCTATCCCATTTTGTATTTCTCTAGTGACAAATATGATCACACTATTGTAATCTCGTTGCAAATTGATCGTTATTATTTTAGAATATCAATCCCATCAGAACAAAGCTAAGGCTCTGTTAGTTACACCACTACATATTACTATTTTTATTTTACTTTAGACAACAAGTACACGACCTATGCTTTTTTTTTTTGGAATCTAAATCTTTCCTTTTATGTTTTTTAAACTATACATTCACGCACGCTTCTATAAAATACCAAAAAACAGATACACTAGTATATTTATTTATTTATTCTGTAATTTAACTTGCATCCTCTATTTTCATTTGATGTAGTTTTTTACCCAAAGCATTAAAATATAAAAAGAAAATAGATGCCATAATATGAAATTCTAAACGTGTTCATGATGACAAAAATGTCAATTTTTTAGAAACAATATTCAAAAATCATTCAAGATGGATAATGAAATATTAGAGTGACACATTATGAAGTACTTAACATCACTCAACCACTCCCAAAGTTTTATATAATTTCCCAATCCAAAATTTTTATGAAAAACTTCTTTTAGATTTTTAAACGTCATTGATAGAATTAAAAAAACAAGAACTTAAGAAAAAGAAAATAAACTTTTGTAATTTGAAATTAGACGATGATTCATGGTGGTGGTAGGAAGTTCGAGATAAGAGAAAAAAACTAAAAAACATTTATATGTGAGTGGTACATTACATCATTTAGTACAATCCTTTAATCTAATTGATCTTTTCCATGCTTTATCACGAACCATTTAGGCGACGACTAAAATTTTAATGTCTTTTATCATTATTTTGAAATAAATATTTAAAAATATAATTTTTTTACTATCCCTTATAAATTTGAAGATAATTCATGTCAAATGAGTATCAAAATAAATTTATTATTATTTAAAAAAAAATTATGGTAACTTTTTGGATGAGGGTTCATTGAATCTCTGATATCATCAGTGAACAATTCAACTTTACCATAAAATTAAACCAGTCTTCATTTTATATTTATATATACTGTATTAGATTAGATCTTTCCATGCTACCCCATTTTGTATTTCTCTAGTGACAAATATGATCACTTTATTGTAATCGCCTTACAAATTGATCATTATTGTTTTAGAATATCAATCCCATCAGGACAAACCTAAGGCTACGTTAGTTCCACCACCACATATTACTATTTTTATTTTACTTTAGACAACAAGTACACGACCTATGTTTTTTTTGGAATATAAATCTTTTCTTTTATGATTTTTCAACTATACATTCATGCACGCTTCTATAAAATACAAAAAAAAAAAACAGACACACTAGTATATTTATTTATTTTTCTGTTATCTAACTTGCCTCCTCTATTTTCATTTGATGTAGTTTTTCACCCGAAGCATTAAAATATAAAAAGAAAATAGATGCCATAATATCAAATTCTAAATGTATTCATGATAACAAAAATGTCAATTTTTTAAAAACAATATTCAAAAATCATTCAAGATGGATAATGAAATATAAGAGTGACACATTATGATGTACTTAACATCATTCAACCACTCAGAAAGATTGATATTATTTCCCAATCCAAAATTTGTATCGACAACTTCTTTTAGATTTTTAAACGTCAATGATAGCATTAAAAAAACTAGAATTTTAAAAAAATAAAATAAAATTTTTTAATTTGAAAGTAGACGATGATTCATGGTGGTGGTAGGAAGTCCATGATATAAGAAAAAAACTAAAAAACATTTATGTGTCAGTGGTACCTTATATCATTTAGTACAATCCTTTACTCTAATGGATCTTTTCCATTGTTTATTATGAACAATTTAGGTGACGACTAAAAATTTTAATGTCTTTTATCATTATTATAAATAAATATTTAAAATTATAAATCTTTGACTATCCCTTATAAAGTTGAAGATAATTCTTGTCAAATGAGTATCAATAAATTTATTATTATTTTACAAATTTTTTATGCTAACTTTTTGGATGAGGATTCAATTGAATCTCTCATGTCATCAGAGAACCATTCAACCTTACCATAAAATTAAACAAGTCTTCATTATATATTTATATATTTTGTATTAGATTAGATCTTTCCATGCTATCCCATTTTGTATTTCTCTAGTGACAAATATGATCACACTATTGTAATCTCCTTGCAAATTGATCGTTATTATTTTAGAATATCAATCCCATCAGAACAAAGCTAAGGCTCTGTTAGTTACACCACTACATATTACTATTTTTATTTTACTTTAGACAACAAGTACACGACCTATGCTTTTTTTTTTAGGAATCTAAATCTTTCCTTTTATGTTTTTTAAACTATACATTCACGCACGCTTCTATAAAATACCAAAAAACAGATACACTAGTATATTTATTTATTTATTCTGTAATTTAACTTGCATCCTCTATTTTCATTTGATGTAGTTTTTTACCCAAAGCATTAAAATATAAAAAGAAAATAGATGCCATAATATCAAATTCTAAACGTATTCATGATGACAAAAATTTCAATTTTTTAAAAACAATATTCAAAAATCATTCAAGATGGATAATGAAATATTAGAGTGACACATTATGAAGTACTTAACATCACTCAACCACTCCCAAAGTTTTATATAATTTCCCAATCCAAAATTTTTATGAAAAACTTCTTTTAGATTTTTAAACGTCATTGATAGAATTAAAAAAACCAGAACTTGAGAAAAAGAAAATAAACTTTTGTAATTTGAAATTAGACGATGATTCATGGTGGTGGTAGGAAGTTCGAGATAAGAGAAAAAAACTAAAAAACATTTATATGTGAGTGGTACATTACATCATTTAGTACAATCCTTTAATCTAATTGATCTTTTCCATGCTTTATCACGAACCATTTAGGTGACGACTAAAATTTTAATGTCTTTTATCATTATTTTGAAATAAATATTTAAAAATATAATTTTTTTACTATCCCTTATAAATTTGAAAATAATTCATGTCAAATGAGTATCAAAAAAAATTTATTATTATTTTAAAAAAAATTATGCTAACTTTTTGGATGAGGGTTCATTGAATCTCTGATATCATTAGTGAACAATTCAACTTTACCATAAAATTAAACCAGTCTTCATTATATATTTATATATACTGTATTAGATTAGATCTTTCCATGCTACCCCATTTTGTATTTCTCTAGTGACAAATATGATCACTTTATTGTAATCGCCTTACAAATTGATCATTATTGTTTTAGAATATCAATCCCATCAGGACAAACCTAAGGCTACGTTAGTTCCACCACCACATATTACTATTTTTATTTTACTTTAGACAACAATTACACGAACTATGTTTTTTTTGGAATATAAATCTTTTCTTTTATGATTTTTCAACTATACATTCATGCACGCTTCTATAAAATACAAAAAAAAACAGACACACTAGTATATTTATTTATTTTTCTGTTATCTAACTTGCCTCCTCTATTTTCATTTGATGTAGTTTTTCACCCGAAGCATTAAAATATAAAAAGAAAATAGATGCCATAATATCAAATTCTAAATGTATTCATGATAACAAAAATGTCAATTTTTTAAAAACAATATTCAAAAATCATTCAAGATGGATAATGAAATATAAGAGTGACACATTATGATGTACTTAACATCATTCAACCACTCAGAAAGTTTGATATTATTTCCCAATCCAAAATTTGTATCGACAACTTCTTTTAGATTTTTAAACGTCAATGATAGCATTAAAAAAACTAGAATTTTTAAAAAATAAAATAAAATTTTGTAATTTGAAAGTAGACGATGATTCATGGTGGTGGTAGGAAGTCCATGATATATGAAAAAAACTAAAAAACATTTATGTGTCAGTGGTACCTTATATCATTTAGTACAATCCTTTAATCTAATGGATCTTTTCCATTGTTTATTATGAACAATTTAGGTGACGACTAAAATTTTAATGTCTTTTATCATTATTATAAATAAATATTTAAAATTATAAAACTTTGACTATCCCTTATAAAGTTTAAGATAATTCTTGTCAAATGAGTATCAATAAATTTATTATTATTTTACAAATTTTTTATGCTAACTTTTTGGATGAGGATTCAATTGAATCTCTCATGTCATCAGAGAACCATTCAACCTTACCATAAAATTAAACAAGTCTTCATTATATATTTATATATTCTGTATTAGATTAGATCTTTCCATGCTATCCCATTTTGTATTTCTCTAGTGACAAATATGATCACACTATTGTAATCTCCTTGCAA